GAGAGGAGGTGTAGTCTAGGTGGCTGTGGGAGTCCGTGGGCTTGAAATAGATGTCAGTTTTGAGGCGGTTACCAGAATGGAGATAGAGAGGTGCAGGAAGGAGAGGGAGGTACCTGAGATGATCCAGGTGAATTTGAGGTTGGGGTGAAAGGTGTTAGTAAAGGAGCTTGAACTGTTCAAGCTCCTCATAGTAGCTTGAGGCAGCGCCAATACAGTCATCAATAAATAGGAAGAAGAGGTGAGGGATAGTGCCAGTGTAACAGCAGAAGGGGGACTGTTCCACAAATTCTACGAAGAGGCAGGCATAGTTTGGGCCCATGTGGGTGCCCATGGCCACCCTCTTAGTCTGTAGGAAGTGGGAGGAGTTAAAGGAGAAGTTGTTCAGGGTAAGGACAAGTTCTATTAAGCGGATGAGGGTATCGGTGGAGGGGGACTGGTTGGCCCTGCGGGAGAGGAAGAAGCAGAGGGCTTTTAGGCCATCTGTTTGGGGGATATAAGTGCACAGGGATTGAATGTCCATAGTGAAGGTGGGGTTTTGGGGCCAGGGAATTGGAAGTCTTGGAGGAGGTGGAGGGCATGGGTGGTGTCCCGGATTAGGTGTGAAGTTCCTGGACCAGGAGGGAAAAGACAGAGTCAAGGTAAGTGGAGATGAGTTCAGTGGGGCAGGAGCAAGCAGAGACAATGGGTTGTCTGGGTGGGCAGGTTTGTGGATTTTGGGAAGGAGATAGAAATGGATGGTGCGGGATTGGGGAACGATGATGTTGGAGGCTATGGGTGGGAGGTCACCTGAGGTGATGTGGTTATGAATGGTCTGAGAGACGATGGTTTGTTGGTCAGGGATGGAGTCATAATCAAGGGGAGGAGGTGTCAGAGAGTTAGCGCCTGGCCTCAGCGATGTAAAGGTCAGTGCGCCATACCGCTACTGCACCCCCTTTATCTGTGGATTTGACAGTGAGGTTAGGGTTGGAGTGGAGGGAACAGAGGGCTGTGCGTGGGGGAGAGGTTGGAATGAGTAAGACGGGTGGAGAGATTGAGGCAATCGATATTGCAATGGAAGTTGGCAATGAAGAGGTCGAGGGAAGGTAGGAGGCCATGGGGTGGTGTCCAGGAGGATGGGGTTTGTTGGAGGCAAGAGAAGGGGTCTGTAGGGGTGGATTAGACTCCCGGTCAAAGAAGTAGGCACGGAGGCGAAGGCAGCAGAAAAAGAGTTCAACATCCACATGGAATTCGCCAGTTTTAAAATCTCCCCACCTCTGGCCTCATCCCTTGTCCAACCCTCCCTCTCATCCCTGCCTCCTTGACCTGACACAACCTGTCCATCTTCTCTCCCACCTATCCGCCCTACCCATCCCACTGATCAATCCCCACCACTCCCTACCTGTGCTCACCTTTCACCATCCCACCTACCTTCCTCAGCCTCAACCCTCCTCTCTGTATTTATTTCCCAGCTCCTTTCCCCTCTCCATTTCGGAAGAAGGGTCCTGACCTGAAACGTCAATTTTCCTGCTCCTCTGATGCTGCCTGACCTGCTGTGTTCCTCCAGCTCCACACTGTATTGTCTGTTGCTCACTTGATTGATATTGGAAACACCATATTAAACATTCATTTCCTCCTCCACCAATGAACAGTAGCAGCTGCTACAAGAAGTGTTACAGGAACTGACGAAGGCTCCTTCAACAGCACCTTCCAAAACTTGACTCCATCATTTAGAAAGTCAAGGGCAGCAGATGCTTGGGGACTTCACCAGCAACTCCATTGACAGTGACATAAATTCCTGACGTATGCATTTGCTGTCACTAGATCAGAATTCTGGAACTCTCCCTCTAATAGCAATGTGTTCCAGATGGATTGTAGCTGTTTTAAAACACAGTTCACCGCCACATTCTCAATGACATTTGGGATGGGTAACAAATGCTGCCTTACCATTCAATGCCCACATCCAGTGACTTTCTTTTTCAGGTTATGAATTTTATTTGCCAGTAGCTAGTTGTTTTACTTCAGATATTTTCTTGAAAAGAAACATAAAATTGGCAATACTTTGGGGAAAGAACATATTTTGCTCAAATAAATGCAAAATTTCACAGATGTTGGAAACCTGAAACCAACACAGCGAATGCTGAAAAAACTCAGCAGGTCTGACAGCATCTGTAGAGAGAAAAACCTAGTTTATATTTCCAATGCCATATGACTCTTCCGACAACTGAAAGGTATTGGAAAATGGGTTTGTTAAAAATATACTTTTAAAAAGACAAAGTAAACGTTGTCTAAAGTATTTAAAAATTCCACAGATAGTGCTAACCCTGTTGAGTTTCTCCAGCATTCTCATGTTCCAAATTCTGTTGAAATCCTCAGTCAAGCCTTTGTTAACTCAAGACTTGATTATTCCATTGCAGTCCTAGCTGGTCTTACATACTATACCTTCCATAAATGTGGTAGTTCAAAACGTTACTGACAATGTCCTTATTCACACCAAGTCTCAACCAAGTATCACCCCTGTGCTTGCTAAACTGTGCTGGCATAAGTAAAAAAGTGCCTCGAATTTTAAAATCCTTGTTTTCAAAGTGCACTGTAGATTTGCCACTCCCCATCTCTGCAATTTTATCAAGCCTCACATGTACTATTAAATGGAGGCTAGTGCCAAAACTGGGAGAGTTGTCTCACAGACTATTCAAGTAACAGCCTGACATAGTCATACTCAGAATAATACCTTACAATGTCCAGGACAACTTCACCATCCCTAGGTATGTCCTGTCCAACAAACAGGGTATACCCAACAGAGGTGGTGCGCAGTGGTATACAGCCAGGAGGGAGTTGCCATAGGATTTCTCAACATTGATTCAAGACCCTATGAATTCTCATGGCATCAGGTCAAACAAGGATGAGGAATTCTCCTGCTGATTACCACCTCACTCAGCTAATGACTTAGCAGTCCTCCATGGCTCAGCAGTATCACTACAAACTGACCTGATTGAGTCCTAAAGGACGTAGCTGCTAGACTGGGTCTATGGCAGGTGGTGAAGGAACTAACCAAAGGAAAAAAATATATATTGGACTTCATCCCACCTATCCGCCTGCTACAAATGCTTGTGTTTATGAAGTTTCAGTGGGAGTGGCCAGTGCAAAGTCCTTATGGAGTCACAGTCCCTTCTTCAGAATGAGGATACCCTCCATCATGCTGTGAGACACTACCATTGTGCTAAGTGGGGTAGGATTTGAACAGATCTGGCAAATCAATGCGGAATACCCATGAAAAACAGCGGGACATTGGCATCAGCAGACCTGTGCTCTAACACAATCTGTAACCTCATGGCTGGCATATCCCACATTACCATTAAGCCAAGGGGTCAATACTAGTTCAATGAAGAGTGCAAGATAACATGCCAGGATTAACATCAAGCATACCTAAAAATGAGGGGAAGCCACAACACAGGGATACTTGCATGTCAAATGGCATAAGCAGCAGGTGATAGACAGTTCTAAGGGTCATGCAATTCCACAAGCAGTAGTCAGATCTCAGCTCAGCAATCCTGCCACATCCAGTTATGAATAGAAATGTGTTGGACAATTAAACAACAAGGATGGGGCAGTCCAATACATCAGTGCAAAATATGCATTTGCAACAATCTTCAGCTGGAAGTGCTAAGTGGCTGATCCATTTTATCCTTCTCTGGTGGTCCTCAGTATCACATGCCAGTCTTCAGCCAATTCAATTCACTCCGTGTGATATCAAGAAACAGCTGAAGATACAGAATATTGCAAAGTCAATGGACCTTGAGAATATTCCAGCGAATTTACTGAAGACTTGTGCTCTAGAACTTGCAACCCCCATTGACATTAATTTGCATTACTGTCATTGAAACCCCACCATTAAAATCCTGCTGGTTACAATTAAAAAGAGAGCAAACTACATTAGCCATATAAATAGTGTGGCTACAACTTAGGTTAGAGGCTATGAATCCTGCAGCATGTAACTTAACTCCTGACTCCCAGAACTTGTCCATAATCTACAAGGCACAAGTCCGGTGTGTGATAGAATATTCCCCGCTTGCTTGATGAGTGCAACCCGTCCAGGACAAAGCAGCCCACTTGATTGATTGATTGATTGATTGATTCCTCAAATATTCAGTGCCTCCACCACTGACACACGGTAGCAACAGTGTACCATCTACAAGATGCACCATAGCAATTGATCAAAGATCCTTAGACAGCACCATGGCCTCCAGTATGCAGAAGGACAAGGGCAACAGAAACACGTGAACGCCACCACCTGCAGGTTTCCCACCAACCACGCACGATCCAAATTTGGAAATATACATCATTGTTTTAACTGTTGTTGGGTCAAATTCGCTCCCTAACAGCATTCTGAGTGTACCTACAACAATGGACTGCAGCAATTCAAGAAGGCAGCTCACTGTCACCTTCTCAAGGGCTCCTAGGGATGGGCCCATATTCCATGAATGGACAAACAAAAAATGTGCTTATCTACTTCTGGCCTCTGAGCAACTCTGATTTAATTAATCCACCACTGGAGACCATGCCTTCAGCTGCCTGGACTCTAAGCTTTGAGCTCTGGAATTTACACCCCTAATTTCTGTGTCATTCTACCTCTCATTTCTTCCTTAAAAATTCTCCTTAACCTCTTTGACCAGGTTTTTGTCTATCTTGGTGGCCTCAGTTTTGTTTTATAATGCCCTTAGATGCATCATGGGATGTTTTATTTTGTTAAATGCTCAAATTAAATATATAAATCCTTGCTAATGAAATTCATCCTATCTTTTTTGTGATTGGGTCTACATGACCTGATTTTTTTTTTAAAATCTATTTTTCTGAGCTTAACTTATACTAAATCTATCAAAAATGGATTCTGCTTTGGTCTGTTCTTACTGATGATCTTGTGTTAATTGCAATTGATTCCCATAAGTTTGCATACTTCAAACAGAATGCCACATGTGTAATCTGAGTTTGAAATTTGAAATTCTGAATTTTCTTTCTGTATTTAGGAGGCCTGGCTTGGGTTGAATCCAGCAGTACCATGCTTTGGGGCAGGAAATAATGTTGTTCCAACCATTCATGTCAAAGATTTAGCTGGGTAAGTACAGACAGAAGAAAATAGAATTTAACTATGGAGCAGACAATATCAATAGTATAGTGCTCGTGCTGAATTAAGCTATTAAAGTACTGTTCATTAAACTGCCTCAAGTATACAATTCTTTTGCACATTGCAATTCCACTATTACAATTATAATTATGGATAATCTTGTATCACTGTTTGGTGTTCAACTGTCTTTTAAAGTAATTAGATCTCTGAGGAACTCATTGTAATTTGTGCTATGCTGTCCTCAGCTTAAGGTGAAAGCTATATTGTCAGTTTCTTCAAAGATATAATATTCATCAACATTAAAAAAATGTGATTAATTAATGGATATGGATTCCTCACAGGGCAGTAAATGAGGTTGCTCAATTTAAATGCATGGCTTGCTTTTATTTTCCCTTTGGTTTTATTCTATTGTATTTGTACGACCAGACACTGCCTGAAATGGAAGGAGGAGCAAACATTTCCTTGACAAATTTCTCTTCTGCAGAATGTAATGGCCTCCTGATGGCTTCTTGTGTTATGCCTAAGTGCTGTTCAAAAGAAAAAGCAGGACTTGTGTTTATGTAATAGCTTTCATGAACACCCAACTCGACAAAGTGCTTTACAGCCAATGAAACACTTTTGAAATGTAACTGCTGCTAAAACGTGACAATAAACTAGCATATAGGAATTTTTCACAGCAGTGATGTGCTGACAATAACTTAATAATCTATGTGATGTTGATTGAGGGATAAATATTGATCAGGACACCAGGGATAAGTTCCCTGCTGTTCTTTGTGCAATGGACCTTTCTAGTTCAGCTGAGAGGGTAGATGAGCCTCGGCACGAAGGTTGGCAATTCAAACAGTGCAGCTGTCTCTCAGCATTGAACTGGAGCATCCTGCTTGACTTTCATATTCACTTGAACTTGCAACCTTGTGGCAGAGACAAAACTGCTACCAACTGAGCCAGATCTGGCTCACAAGTCAGCCTTTCAGTGCAAAGTCTTAACAGAATATTGAACCACAGCAACATTACACCGCAACCTGATCTTTGTCCTTATCAAAGTCTGAACACATTAGGAATTAAACTGGGCGACCTGTCTCTGTGGGGTACGTGGAACAGTCCTTGTTACACTCCTACTCAGGTACCTCCCCGCAAATCTTTCTCTGGTACATGAATGACATTATCGGTACTGTTTCCCTTTCTTTCCAGTGTCCAATTTCTACCCTGCTCTCACCTTTACCTGGGTTCATCTCTGACTCCTCCCTTCCCTTCCTCCATATCTCTGTTTTCATTTCTGGGAATAGGCTGGCCAGCAACATCCACTATGAACCATCTGACTCTCACAGTAGTCTTGACTATGCATCCTCACACTATTCTCATCCTCTATTCCATTCTTCCAGTTTCTCCATCTCTTTCGCATGTGTTCTGATGATGCCACATTCTGTAGGGGTGCTTCAGAAATGTCCACCTGTGTCCTCAACTGACGATTCTCCACAACTGTGATTGACGAAGCCCTCAGCCAACCGATCTTTTTCCTGCATTCTGCTCTCATCCTTCTCTTCCCTCCCATAGCACTGATAGGCTTCCCTGGTCCTCACTTTCCACTCCACCAGCGTCCACATCAAAAGGATTAAAGGCCATTTCTGATGCCCCCACCAGACACATCATCCCCTTCCTTCCTTTGTCAGCGTCCCATAGGGATCATTCCCTCTAGGGCAATCTGGTCCACTTCTCCACTCCCAAGTCCTCCCCACCGCCCCAGGGCATCTTCCCATGCAATTGCAGAAGGTGCAACATTTACCCATTTATTTCCTCCCTCCTCATTATTAAAGGTTCCAGTCAGACTTTCTAGGTGAAGCAGCGATTTACCTGCACTTCACTCAATCTAGTCTACTCTATTTGCTGCTCATATTGCAGAGATGAAACACAGACTGGACAACTGCTTTATGGAACAGCTATGTTCAGTCTACAAAAAAAACTTCCAGTTGCCTGCTACTTCAACACACCACCATGTTCCCTGACCAACATCTTTGTCCTGGGCATGCTGCAGTGCTCCAGTGAGGCTTAGCACAATTGGAAGAACAGCATCTCATTTTCTGCTTAAGGACGCTTCAGCCTCAGGACTCAATATCAAGCTCAATAATTTTAGGGCCTGAACATCCTTTTCCATGTCCTTTTCCAACACCCACACCCCTGGTTCTGTCACGACATTTGTTGCTTTCATCATAGCCAACCCTTTTTTTGAACCCAATAATTGGCCCCTGTTATCAGCTTTTCTTCCTTCATTGCTCACCATTATCCTTCCCGTTGTCTGCCTAACTGCTGTTCTCTCTCTCTGGGCTCCATCCGATAGAGTACCTAATGTGTACTTATTTCCCCAACCATGCCCCCCTCCAACCTCCATCTTCAGCATATATACCATATTTTCCTAGCTACTATCAGTTCTGAAGAAGAATCACTGGATCCAAAACATTAACTATGCTTTGTCTCCACAGATACTGCCAGACCTGCGAATATCTCCAGCAATTTCAATATTTGTTTCAGATTTCCAGCATCCATAGATAATTGATTTTTTATTAGGTTGGGTGTAGTGATTATCAAAAATAGATGTAATCATGTTGGCAAACAATTGAACTGTAGTGATTGTAACAAGGTCAGCCAGGTGGACTTACTAGAATACGAGTTCCCTGATTGGGGCTGTTAATCTGGTCCAATCAGGGAGCCCTGACTGACAGATAAGAACAGGAGTGTCCGACATCCTGTTCACTCTGAGAGCAGGCTCTGAGGGAACTGGATTGGTGTCAAGGACTTTCCATGTGTAAATAAAGGGTGACTTGATGATGGGATACTGGACTCTGTGGAGTTATTTTAGTGGCGATAAGAGAACAGCACGCACTTGAAGAAATTCGCTCATAACAGTCATCGTTGAGTTGGGGTAAACATTTCTGGCATCATGCCGTTATTTAGGAAGTTTGGCTCGTTTGATCCAGCCATCGAAGACTGGGCCCAGTATGTGGAAAGAATGCATTTTTTTTTTCTGGGCAAATGACATTGGGGCAGATGAAAAGCAATAAGTAATTCTCCTGACAGCTTGTGGACCGGCAGTCTTTTCGGTTATTAGAAGCCTAACATTCCCTGAGACACCACATACTAAAACCTTTCAAGAGTTGACGGATTTAGTTAAGGAATATTATGACCCCAAACCGCCTCTAATTCTGAGACACTATTGGTTTTACTCGGCAATTAGAGAACTGGGGGAATCCATGTCTGGATTTTTGACTAGGTTAGGACGACTAGCAAAAGGACGACTTTGGTTTAACTCTTAATGAGATGCTGAGAACCCGTTTGGTATGTGGGATTCAAGAAGTAACCAACCTTTCAGGCTTCACAATTGGTACTAGCGCCTACTAGCTGAAGCCAAACTGGATTTCAAACAGGCACGACAACTGGCTTTATCATTGGAAAATGCAGCAAGTGGAACATCTGAATCATAGAATCCCTACAGTGTGGAAACAGGCCCGTCGGCCCAACAAGTCCACACCAATCCTCAGAGCATCCTACCCACATCCATCCCTCTATAACCCACCTAATCTACACATCCCTAAACACTATGGGCAATTTAGCATGGCCAATCCACCTAGCCTGCACATCTTTGGACTGTGGGAGGAAACCAGAGTACCCAGAGGAAACCCATACAGGTACGGGGAGAATGTGCAAACTCCACACAGACAGTTGTCCACGGGTAGGATCGAACCCGGGTCCCTGGCGCTGTGAGGCAGCAGTGCTAACTACTGAGCCACCATGCTGCCCTAAGAGTTGCAGTGGACGCAGTCCCAGATCTCCCCAGGACCTTGCCATCAGAATATGAAAGTCAAGCAGGATGCTCCATACCTATTTGCAATTGTAGTTAAATGAGGATTCCCAGAAGCATGTTACAATTATTACCCATAACGGTTTGTACGAGTAGACGAGACTGCCATTTGAGGCATCGTCAGCTCTTGCAATTTTTCAGATGGAGAACATTTTACAAGATCTACCCCGAGTCGCCATTTATCTTGTGTGCTCATAAGAGAGAAGGCCAATAGGAGCACTTAGAGAACTTGGACCCAGTCCTTAGACATTTTTCGTCAGGCAGGTGTACGTCTTAGAAGGGAAAAGTGTGTGTTCCAGGCACCCCAAGTGACCTACTTGGGCTACAGAGTTGACAAGACCTGTTAGAAGGTAATATGAGGGCAGTTAAGGGTGCTTGGCTCCCACATCTGTACTGGAGCTTAGGTCTTTCATTGGGCTGGTGAATTATTATGGAAAGTTCATTCATAACCTGGCACCTTTGCATCAACTCTTAAAAAAGGAATAGCCTTGGAAATGGTCATGCCACCAAGCCATAGCTTTCAGGTAAGTGAGGAAACAACTAGCATCCTCTAAGATGTCGGTACACTGTGATCCCAAGCGAGATCTGGTATTGACATGCGATGCCTCTCTATATGGAATCGGGATAGCATTTGCTCATAGGTGGCCCAATGGAGACGAATACCCAATAGCATATGCCAGGACTTTGGCTAATGCAGAGTGTAAATACGGCCAGATAGAGAAGGAAGGTTTGGCAGTCATGTTTGGAGTCAGGAAGTTCCACCATTACCTTTATGAACGTAAATTTGTAATAATAATGAACCACAAACCCCTGCTAGGTCTACATAAAGAAAAGCTGAGCAGGTCTGGCAGCATCTGTGAAGGAAAAAACAGAGTTAACATTTTGGGTCCTCATTTTGACCATTCCTCAGAACTATATAAAGAGGACATGCAGTGCCACCCATAGCTTCAAGCAAAATTCAGCAGTGGGCTCTAATACTAAGTGCATATAGTTACAGATTGGAACACTATCCAGGAGGCCATGTAGCAAATGCAGCTGCATTAAGCTGCCTCCCACTGGCAGATACACTGCCAGTGATATCGCCACTGGAATAGTCCGTAATGGTTTTAAATTATCTGGACAGTCACAACTGACAATATCAGAGTTTGGATGCAGAAAGATCCAGTCCTGGCAAAACTGAAACAGCTGGTAGTGATGGTGGCAACTAAAGGGCAATCACAACCAGAACTGAAACCATTTTGGACCTGAAGAGACCTTACAGTAGAGGACGGCATATTATTACGAGGAGCAAGTGTGATTGTCCCAAGCAAAGGTCTCTGCCAGATACTGGTTGAACTCCACCAGGGTCATCCAAGGGTTTCTAAAATGAAGATGTTGATGAAAAGCTATGTCTGATGGCCAAAATTGAATGCAGACAGAGCTGCATTGGTGAGCAGATTGCCAACAAGGACATACATTACAGCCAGCAGCTCTCCCACATTTGTGGGAATGACTGGGTAAGCACTGGACTCAGTTACATGTTGACTATGCAGGTCCTTTCATGCTTTCAAAGTTCTTAGTCTTTGTGGATGACCACTTGAAGTGACAGCAAGTGCATAGAGTTCGTTCAACAAACATGGGGACGACAATAGAAAAGCTGCGCGCATCTTTTGCAATACAAGGACTCCTGGAAGTGTTGGTCACAGATAATGGGACATCGTTTACCAGCAAGGAATTTGAGTATTTCCTAAAATCGAATGGTATTTGACATATAATGACAACTCCATATGATTCATCATCCAATGGTCTGGCAGAAAGGACAGTCCAAACTTTGAAGGAGGCTGAAAGCAACAGCCTATAGTTTCACTAGATCCTAACCTGTCCTGGTTTCTATTTGATTATAGGATCACCCCTCATGCAACTACAGGGATATCTTCAGCAGAGTGACTAATAGAGAGAAGACTCTGTACCAGGATAAATCTGATCTTTCCAGAACATGGGGGTAGGGTGAAATGGCATCAGGAGCACTAGTGCTGGACACAAGACACTACTAAGTGAGAGAGATAGTTTACTTCAGGGGATGAAGTTTGGTGCAGGAACTGTGGGAATGGTCCTGTATGTGTAAGAGGCATGGTGGACACGAGGTCAGATCCAGTTCAGGTAGGTGTGATGGTCCTGAACAAGCACGTAGCCCATATGAAAGCTGAAAACTCACGAACGGCGTAGGAGCAAAACGTGCCCAGCTCCTTGACAGCCTTTCTGACTGTTCCGGAACCCATGGGTTCTCCCTCTCTGTCAAGCATTGAAGATACCTCGGAATCTGGGATGGACACAGCGGACGTTGCTGCCTCAATGCCTTTGGCACCTGAAAAGGAGAATGAATTTCTTCCGAGACACTCCAGGCACAAAAGGCGAGCTACAGTGCATTACACGCTGCCCATATCAGAGACAGGGTTGGAGGAACCTGATACGGTGTTAATACACCCCAGGAAGAACTATAAAAAAAGAACCGGCCTATGTCCTGGACTCAGAGGGGAAAGGATGTGGTGATTGTAACATGATCAGCCAGGTGGACCTCATAGAATATGTTCCCTGATTGGAACTGTTAATCTGCTCCAATCAGGGAGCCCTGGCTGACAGATAAGAGCAGGAGTGTTTCATTCTGTTCATTCTGAGAACTGACTCTGAGGAAGCTGGATCAGCACCAAGGACTCTCCACGTGTAAATAAAGAGTGACTTGGTGACAGGATACTGGCTTCTGTGGAGTTGTTTCACGAAGTTCTCATTCAATATAACGTTTCATTTATAAAAGTACTGAATCTTGAATCTTGAGTCTTACGTATAACAAATGGTTGATGCAATAATGCCCATTTAGTACACTGATCTAAAATGAATTTCAGTCCCATTCTTACACCAGAGCTCAGGAATGATACCTTGGTCAATTTTGCCCTTGCTGCTTTAAGCATGGTGTCAACTCTGGCTCTCTGCCATTGCCTAAAACTGAGACAAACTAGGTGAGCTTGAATCTGGGATCTTCCTTGTTCGATACTTGATAAAGTTGCTGAGACTGAAAGAAAGCCTCTTACACTCACCTCTTGTTCAAAGGGCTTAATTGTCATAGAATCGTAGAGTCATACAGCATGGAAACAGTCCATGCTAGCCATGTTGCCAAATTAAACTCGTCCCAGCTGCTTGTGTTTGGCCCATAAACCTCCAAATCTTTCCTATTCATGTACTTACACAAGTGTCTTTTAAATATTGCAACTGCACCTGCATCCACCGCTTTTTCCAGCAGTTCATTCCACACGCTAACCACTCTCTGTATAAAGAAAGTTGCCTCTCATGTCATTTTTAAATCTTCCTCCTCTCACCTTAAAAATATGCCCCCTGGTTTTGAACTCCTCCACCCTAGGCTGTTGAGGTAAAAGGTATTTTGTGGAAATCAGAGATAGTAGGAACTGTTAATGGTCCGGAGGAAGGGGGCAACCCTGAGCAAAGTTCTGTCTTTTGGTGTCATTAAAACAAAAGAAGACAGTTACAGGAATATTTATGCCTGTACTGAGACATGTACAGTCATTTTCAGAATGAACGAACAAAATGTACGAAAGTAAATATACTTGTTGAAAGAAAACATTGACTTCATCACAACCACTGTGATCTGTAGATCAATTGGCCCCACACTTAGCTCTGAATTAGAGGGCTGTGAGTTCAAGTGGCATTCCAGGACCTCAGCACAAAAATCAAGGCTGACAGACTAGTGAAAAAATGAAGAACTACTGCATGTAGAGGTGCCATCTTTCAGTGAGTCATTAAGCCCTTGTCTCATCTCTTAGATGGCTGTAAAAGACCCCATGGCACCATTTTGAAATGAGAATCCACAAAGCAATGCCAAAAATATATGCCCCTCAAACATTGTTACCTTTTTTTTGTTACTCGGCAACAACAACCATTTTCCTTTAGTTTCAATAGAAACAGGAAAGTTGGGAATAAACAGATTTTTATAATAAGCAGAAATGTTACAGAGGGTGATTCCTCACTCCCAGTCAGGAGCTGATCTCAGTAATTATGCAGATGAGAGGATAGGCATACAATATTGTAGCTGTACTGATTCTTACTCTTGCAATCCTTCAGTTGTGGTCCCTCCCACAGGGATAAGAGAAAAACTCCTTCATTTAAACTTGCTGAAATATCAGATTAATTTGGATTGATTATTTTTGCTTGTTAAATTATCTCTAATTTCCATGTTGGAAGTGGATGCATGTAGTTATTCCAGCATGAATGATTATTTGACCAGTGAGTTTATGAGTGACCTTTTTTTGGCCTTATTTTGCAGAGTGTTACAAAATATAATAGAACGAAAACCAAAAATGAACTACATTCTTGCAGTGGATGACTCAAAGCACAAGTTGAAAGAGATAGTCAAGGTAAAGACTGAGAGATTGTTCCTGAAGTAAAAGCATTTATATATTGCCTTTCACTTCCACTTGCCATCTCAAAGAGCTTCATAGCCAGTAACATACTTTTTAATTATAGTCATTGTTATAATCTAAGAGCCTAAGTTTCAAACTGTTCTAATGTGATAAAGTGTATAAATTAGAGTAGCACGTACATTATTCCAATAAAATATTATTTAACTTGCCGTAACTTAATTTTGACCTGTGAAGAAGAAGTGACTAATGTCCTGTCCTCCATTTTTATGAAACTCTGGTTGCAATCTAATTCACTTATGGGTCCAGGAATTGTCCTTTGGTTGATCCATTGAGCCGACAGGGGTCCTAGCCAACATTGGCTACCCTCATCGCTGACTGGAAATTCCTGTTGACACAGGAATGGGGCACTTAACCATCTACATACCTGATAATAATTAAACTAAATTCACTGCTCGCCACTTTGTGGCAGGCAGTTAATCTAACCCAAGCTGAATTCACACAAAATAGCTTAAATTGGGATTGAACACCGAAACAGCATGGAGGCTAGTAGTGGAAAATTGCACATTTGCCTACGTCTGAGTTGTTTTGCCCTTCAGCTGACATGCTGGGTGACATTTGGTTGAAGTATTTCACGTAAGCGTTAAAGTTGCCATGGTAATTTTCAAAAAGAAAAAGAGCTCTCATGGTTTCCTGGTCAGCAATATACCCAACCAATAGCACAGAATAGCTAGCCATCTATGTCAGTTCTACTTGTGGGATGTTATTAGTATGTTATGTATGTCTGTTTTGCTTATATAACACTCAATGAACTTCATGTATGATTCATCGCATGAAGTGCTTTGTGACATTTAGACCTGATAATTCATTGTACAGATATTTCCTCTTATCATAAGATAAACTGTATCAGCATAAGAAATTCAGCCATTGCTCTTCTGCTCTATATTGCTTAATTATCTGTTAGACCACTGGGTAATTAGGAGTTCTGGAAAGAACAGTTTAATCTAGAATCCAATACTACCACTTTGAGAGACTGCAAGTAAGTGTAGTAATTATCTTGACAGTCAATCAGCAAACTTGGGCCTGGCAAGATTCAACACCTTCCTGAAGAAGATGCCCTGCTCAGCCATGACTTGACGGTTAGTGTATCATTCATTGCAATTTTTAACCATGCTTATGTTTAACTTTTGAATTTCCATTTAATTTAGCTAAGTAATACATAAGGGGCTTTCCATAGTCATCACAGCTTTTCTAATGTTGTTCATTTCCTTAGACCAGAAAGAGCAGATTGTTTATTTAGGAAACATTAGATGCTGCTGCACTTACCTTCTTCTATAGCTTTCATGTTTGGAAATCTTATTTGTATGGCCTAAATTTCTTTTATAAATATGGAGACTTTTATTGAATTTTCTATGCTCTGTGTGCCACACTAATCTAATTAGAAACCATTACTGGGAAAGAACAGAAAAGCAAGTCATGAGTGAATGACAATAACGAGAAAGAGAAGTAGATTGAAAGGAAGAAACAAGACTGGAGAATGTGGGAAACAACATTCTGAGATAAGTTGAACCAATAACAAGTTGACAGGCAATCTTAGAGGGAACAACTAAAACTGGGCAGATTATCAGAAGAAACAGCATAACACCTTTACATTACAACACATTGTCTGGGAACTGCTTGCTGTAAGGAGCATAGGAGGAAGTGACACTTGTTTATTTTCGACATACATTCCAAGCAATGACCATTGCAAACTATAAAATTGAGGAGCATCTTCATAAGTTGAAAAGAAAATGCAGATAAATATGTTGAGTGGAATATGATCAGAAAATGCTGCATCATTAGACTGTGAAACATAGTTATCTTTTCAGGCTGATGACTCATCAGTAGAAATCTGAAGGATCATCAACCTGAAACATTAAATCTGTATCTCTCCACAGATGCTGCCTGACATGCTAAGTATTACCAGCATTTTCAATATTTACTTCACATTTCTAACATTTACAGTGTTTCACTCTATGGAGAGGATTTGATTCACTAGAGTCTTTCACATTGCACAGCTAGTCTAAGTGTAGGAGATTGACAGGAGACCTGATAGAAGTTTATAAAATAATGAGGGATATAGAAAGAGTTAACGGTAGTTGTCTTTTCCCTAGGATGGTGGATTTAAGACTAGAGACATATTTTTAAGGTGAGAGGAGAGATTTAAAAAAGACATGAGGGGCAAATTTTTTACACAGTGGATGGTTTTCATGTTGAATGAACTTCCTGAGGAACTGGTGTATGTGGATACAATGACAACATTTAAAAGACATTTGAATAAGCACATGAATAGGAAAGGTTTGGAGGGATATGAGCCAGGAGCAGGCAGTTGGGACTAGTTTAGTTTGGGATTATTTTTGGCATGGACTGGTTGGACTGAAGGGTCTGTTTCTATGCTGTATGACTTTATGAGTCTATGACAAACCTTTTTTTTAGAAGATAATGTCATGTTTAAAAATTTGAAATTTAAGTTTGCTTTCTGTTCCAACAGCAATCAGATCTGGATCACTTGATGGTGAATCTGACATTGGAGGCCTTTTTCATCAAAGAAAACTTCAACATCCACTGGGTGGCTGAAAATGGTATTGTGGAAAACATCCAGAACCTAATCAAAGAATACAAGCAATCTCGAACACTTCTGGTAATCTGTACATTATCTTAAGATAATTTCTTATGGATAACTTTTTTTGCAGGTTGTATTTTACATGACTGATTCATCTTCACACTCCATTCTTTCACATACGGAAAGATTGAACAATGGGGAAAACCAGAGCAACTGTTTTCTGATGAAAGGGCATCAACTTGAAATATGAACTCTTGTTTCTTTTTTCGCAGGTGTTGCCTAGACTGTTGAGTGTTTCCATCATTTAATGTTTTAATTGCAGTGTAAAGATATTTTGATGTCCTCACACTCACCCTTCCTGTCCTTTGGACCACTCATTCCTTCACTGTAGTTGACAGTGAGAAATTATCATTACTTTGCCAAGGATACTTGCAGAAAGCCAGAAGAGTACAGTGTTTATCTTTATTATTGTCTCTTCTCCATCCTATTTTCCCCCATTCTGTTATGAAAGCCTTGAAACAGTTTGCTTCTCTCATCCAAACGATCATTCTTTGTAGATGAGCCTGGATCAGAGGTGTTCAAACTGCAACCAATACAACGGCTACCAATCTGGCCTCAAAGTAATTTCAACTATATTTCCTCCCACAGTCCAAAGATGTGCAGGTTGGGTCGCTGAGCATGCTAAATTGTCCATAGTGTCCGGAGATGTGCAGGCTAGGTAGATTGTCCATGGGAAATGCAGGGCTACCAGGATAGGATAGGGAGGGTGGGTCTGGATGGGATTTTCTTTGGAGGGTCGGTGTGGACTTGATGGGCCAAATGACCTGCTCCCATACTTTAAGGATTCTATGCTTCTGTTTCTCCTTTATCTTGTTTGAATTTTGTGGGTCTGAATTCTTTTCCTTTTATTCTATAATGGAATGTGAAGTGCTGGCATTTGTTGCCCTTGAACTGAGTGACTTGCTGGGCTGTTGCTGAGTACAGTTAAGCACTCAGTCATTGCTGTGGGCCAAGAGGCACGAGTAGGCTGGACTGGGAGAGGACTGTCAAATTTCCTTCCAGAAGGGCATTAGCGATCCAGAATAATTTTTATGCCAATAGGTTCATGGTCACCATTACCAAGTTGAGCTTTATACTCCAGGTTTTTATTGATTGAATATTCCACCAACAACTGTGGTGGGATTTGAACCTGTTTCACTGGGCTACTACAGTAACATTATCACTATGCCACTTCCTTCCCCTGAATGTTTGAAATGGATTGTCTTCATACCTCTGCTTCATTGCTAAATAACTCACAAATACTAAGCAGATCCCACAGGGAAAGTCAAGACCTTGCCTACTCAACCTCCCCACCCCCCCCCACCACTACCCATCTTTCCCTCCCATCAGGCCTTCCTGAAACCCTCTGCATTTTCCCCGTCCCTCTCTGCTGGTAGCCAATGACCACTTCCCGTCTTTCCATGTAGTTGCGAAGGAGACTGGAAACATGTTAATGAGGCTCAGCAGTTAAAATTCTCAGCTCTTCATTCACATTCCCAAAATACTTTCGGAATTAAATGTGGTGTCTGTTTGCTAAATTGATAAATAAGGTATTTCAGAATGCACACCTCAGTGTTTATTTTCTACCTTGCTGTTTAAGGATTTTTTTTTTCGTTTCTGGAACCCTTGTAAGATGTTTTGATATTTAGACAAGGTAGTCAATGGGTTTTTGTAATTTTATTTTTCACAGCCACTAAAAATCGCAATTCTGGGACCTCCTGTGGTGGGGAAAACCTCAGTAGCAGAGAAGCTGGCTAAAAACTACAAGCTGCACCACATCAAAATAAAAGATGTCATTGAAGAAGCTATTGCAAATCTGGTATGTTTACTTTAACAAGACATAGGAAAAGTCAAGAATGAGAAAAGACCACTTGACCCAACCATACACATCCCTCCAGCACTCTCATTTTTAAATTAGACTGTCCAATTGTATGCAAAACAATCACAACATTCTTGAGAAGGTGGGAGCTCACCACAACTTCTCAAGGGCAACAAGGGACAGGCAATAAATGCAGGCTGGCCAGTGATGCCCACAGCCCATTAATGAATAAAAAGAACCTACTTTAATTGCCAACTTTTTCAAGTATAAAACTTAAACTTTTCTAATCCTTTCTAATCAAGAAGCAGTGATTGTACACAGTGTACCACAAGATCTCATAATAGTGATCCTCATGTGCAAAGATCAGCTATCTCTAAATCCTTCCTGAAGCTGATCTTTGCACATGAGGATCATTATTATGAGATTTTGTGGTGCACTGTGTAGAATGTCTGCCTCTCAATTCGAAATTCTGTGTTGAAGACCTACCCCAGGACTTGGCATGTTCATAATGTAGCTAAAAGGTTCAGTATCAACTTGCGAATCCTTCCAAGGCAGGTTGTACCTTTGGGAGAGACTCCTGGTCAGTCATGTAATGGAAAGAAATTAAACCTTCCACCATCAGTTTCATAGTTCCATGTGATGTGGATCAGATGGAGCCAACAGAACAGGATTCAATTCCTGTTCTTGCTGGAGTGGTTTTGGGAACCTACTGTCTTGCCCTTCCCAAGTGGAGAATGCAGCAATCTTGTCTTTAGACAGAGGACTCAAAGGAGAATTGCTGTTATATTTCTCCAGTTACTGCCACTGGAGAATTAAATTAATGTCAACAGATTTTTCTTCTCTCTTCTAGGCTCCTGATTAATAGGAGAATTAAGGGGTATGGGGAAAGGGTAGGAAAGTGGATGTGAGGAGTGTCAGATCAGCCATGATCCTATTGAATGGCAGTGCAAGCTCTTGTTCCGATTTCCTCTGCTCTAATGGACTGCTGCTCGTCAAAGACCTACATGCGAATCCCCATCATCATTGT